CCCCCCCCCACCCCACACACACAGAAAATGTATCTTTTATGGGAAAATTTGAAAACTACAACATTTCTATTAGGAAATGCTGCCTTATGGGAGTTGTAGTTTGGGTACCTTGTGCTCCCATTCTCCTACAGACTGGGCTCCCTGGTTCATGTGCATCTGCCATGATGCACCCGCTCCCCAGTTGGAGAGGGAAATCAGTACATCCTGGGAGTCCCTGGCTATAGTGCATCATGGAAGATGTAGTCCAGCCAGGGAGCTCGGCTAGTAGAGGAGAATGGAGACATGAGACAGTGGAACTACAGCTCCCATGTGGCAGCGTGGCTGATTATCCAAATAGAAATACTTAGGTTTTGGCTTTTCTGCAAAAACCCCAAATGCTCCAAAACCATTGTGTGGAAATTGGATACTTCTTGTGAAAAATATCGTTGAATCGAAAACTCACTTTTCCATCACAGAAGAGTTTTTGACAGTTTTCAGCCAGTCCTAGAAAAAGGATTTGTCTTCAGTGTAGGCCGGAACCTTCCGTCTTAAACAACCATTTCAACTATCCCAGACGTCTCCAGTACAAATTAATCTGCCCTTTAGTTAAAAAGCTCTCTTCTCCCAGATAGACAGCTTCAGGGGGATTGCTCACTCCTAGCGATCCCAGCAGAGTCCTTGGATTTTTCTCTCATGTGTTGCATGTTAGGTCTTCTCCTTTAAGCTATAAACTGGGTGGGTTTTTTTTGTATTTTAAGGCGTGACTCCCAATGACCTGGATGCCTTCGTACGCTTCGAGTTTCCCTACCCCAACGCGGTGAGTTATGAATGCTGCTCGGTGGCATTCCCAGGCTTCAGTTGGGAAGGCTCAGTTCTCACCCTCTCGTGTCTTGTGTTGTAGGAGGAAGCTCAAAAAGATAAGACCAACGTGATCAAAAACACAGATTCCCCCGGTAGGTTCCCGTCTGGAGTTATGGATGCGTGTGTGTGCGTTTGTGTTGGGAGGAGGGTTCCCTTGTGTTACTAGAGCTCTGGCCTTAAGGTGATCTGCATGTGGAATGAGCCCAGGTGACAAAACACCCCATATGTAATCGGGCAGTCTCTGCTCAAGAGAGTTGCAGAGCAGGGATAGAAATGATGGGGACAGGTCAAGACTGATTCCACAATGAAGCACTTAGATACTGCAGGGATCCTGGATAAACAGCTTTGCAGGTGCACGTCAGTTTTCTGTCTGGGGACTTGGAACTAGGAGAGCAGAGGGGGGCAGGTCAGGATTGAGGGACAGGCGCTAAACTGTGTGTGAGGAGCTCGTGGGCTGGAATAGTGGGGAGCCAGCAGGTTGGGATTGAGAGCGGGGCTGTGTGCGTGGGGAGCCCAGGACTGGTGTATTAGGGTGAGGTGGGTGGTTGGTAAAGGGACAAGATTTCACTGTGGTGGCAGAGCTGTGTGGGCAAGGACCCCACAGTCTATGCCCCCTCGGTGCATTGCTGGATCTGTTTTTAGTCCCTCTCCTGTCAGCATCACCATTTCCTCTTTCCTGATTGGGAAACTCGGTCTGTGAAATAAGTTCTGCGTGAGGTTGACAGGCCGAGAGGCTGTAATCTCCAGTGACGCCAGCTGGTGCCTCGAGGTCTTTCTTCCCAAGACTCTGAGAGGCGATGGCTGTAGTGGCTAAAGCAGGGGACTGGGAACCAGGATGCCTGGGTTCTGTTCCCAGCTCTGCTGCTGATTCTGTGATACCTTGGGGGCAGATCACTTCACCACACCGTTTCCTTTTCTCCAGCTAGAAAATGGAGCAGGTGGAGGGGGTTGTACTGAGGCATAACGAACGGCAAAGTGCACCGAGATCCCAAGGCGAAAATCAGTGCAGCTGTGCAAAGTGTTTCCTGCTAATCCTATTCCTGGCTCATGTCTTGCCCAGGGATGCAGTTGGTGGCTCTTCCCTTGCTGTGTAATCCTCATGCTAATACCATGATTTGCTGCTGTTCCCTTGGCAGAATTCAAAGAGCAGTTCAAGCTGTATATTAATCGGGGCCACCGAGGGCTCAAGAGAGTCTTTCAGACCAAAGGCCTCAAGTTTGAGGTTGTCCACAAAGGGTGAGTGAGATGCGAGGCTGGGGGCACTGGAGGGCAGGTTTAAATGTCATCCGCAGACGCTGGAGGGAACCTTCCTTATGACACTCTTGATATGTCCTGGGGTGGAAAACTCATGAATATTGGGGGCAGGCAGAAGGTCCGTTGCAGCGTTCAAAGGTGAAATAAACAACGGCCGTGGGGCGTCACTGCTTATTAACAGCTTCACCGCTGCCGCCAGTCGGGCTTCTGCTGAAATCAACACCCTCAATCCTGTGAGATGGACCAAGTGTGCACATCTCCGTGTACCCGGAGTGCTGGTCAGCAGGTTATTGTTACCTGCCTAGCAAAGGAATGGCGCCTGCTCTCTGCCCTGCTGGTAAGCGCTGTGTGTGCCGGGCAGAGAGCTGGGCTCATTCCCTGCCTCTGTCCCGCCCCTGTGTTGGGAGCATCGCAGAGGTAGCCTGCTTGGGGAGGAGCACAGTTTGTCACTTCGCTGCAAGTGCAGGTGTGATTGTAGCACAGGTAGGCATACCCATGTGGGAGCCCACCGGGGCCCCTGGCTGCGTACTCGAGTGATTAACACAGGGCCACCACGTTTTCACTGGCGCTGTTGTCCGTACTAGCTAAATTAAAGCTAGCACTTGGCTATGCCTGTGTGTGCGACAGTCACACCTCCCCTTGCACTGTAGCCTACCCATAACGGCGCCGCTCACTAGGCCACTTAAGAAGCAGCAGTGAATGTGTGGCCCTCCTTAGCTGGAAGGATAGTGGTCATGGTGCGGGAGAGGGTTTGCTGGGTTGCCAGGGCTCTGACAAGGGAGGAGGGGAGAGGACTGAGTTGTGAGAGTCTAGGAAACATGTAGCTGCTTGTAGAGAGGCTGCATGACGCACTGACACTGGTGCATAGGAGACGGGGGTGTGGGACTCAGCTGAAAGGAGCAGCCGCTGCCAGAGGAGGAATATTTTGTCCTCTGTAGTTAGCCCACTGGTGCTGTCCTGGTGCTGCACCTCCAGAGCACAGCTGGTCCTTCGGGGGCATAGAGACAAAACCTTCCCCCAAAAGCTGAAACCCTCCTGTTAACGTGATCGATCTGTGGGAGCGCTGCTGGGATCGGCCATTGTGGGAATGGGGGGCGGAGTGGCAGGGTTCCTCCCATTAGTTACTTCTGAGAATTTGATTCCCACTTTGGGGACGTTCTAGGGACAAACATGTCTTTGTGGGAGCTGGGATTGGATGCACTGGGCGAGGGACTGATGAGGACTTCAATTTTATGTTGTCATATCCCTTTCTCCCCCCCCCACACAATCTCCCAGGGGGCTGTTCAAGACAGACCGCGTTGTGGGCACAGCACAGCTGAAACTGGAGGCCCTGGAGACGACTTGTGAGCTTCGGGAGATTGTCGAGGTAGGAAACCGTGGAGAGTTCCCCCTCCTCCCTCTAAGCAGCACCTGTGTGCACCTGCCTATAAATCCTGCCCTCTTATTATCTTTCAGAGTCTCAGTCCCATAGCTTCCTCCCGGCCCGAGGAGCTGAGGCTAGAAAGGAGCAAACAGCAGACCAGGGGCAGGGGCTGGATGTTATTATCAGCTGCTCTGAACTCTCTGGTCAATTATCAGCGGGGTAGCCGTGTTAGTCCGGATCTGTAAAAGCAGCAAAGAGTCCTGTGGCACCTTATAGACTAACAGACGTATTGGAGCATGAGCTTTCGTGGGTGAATACACATGCATCCAGTGAAGTGGGGATTCACCCACGAAAGCTCATGCTCCAATACGTCTGTT